TATATTACTAAACCTCATTACTCTATGGATGGAAATGATGAGGTACATGGTGTGAACAACTTAGTTTATTCCTGTCATTGTTGCCAGGTGCCATGGAGTTGCTTCTAACTCACTACAATATGTACAACAGAACAAAACACTGCCCAGTCCTGTGCCATCCTCACAATCACTGCTATATTTAAGCCCATTATTGCAGCCCCTGTGTCAATCCATTTCATTAAGAGTCTTCTCTTTTTTTGCTGATGTTCTACTTTACCAGGCATGATTGGGGAGGAGCTCTGGTTCACTGCTAACCAGAAGGCTGGCGGTTCAAACCCACAAGCCACTCCTCGGAAGGAAGGATGGGCAATCTAATTCCGTAGTGATACTGCCTCGACAACCCAAGGAGGGGTCACTATGAGTCAGGTCCGACTCGATGGCACATAACAGCAACAACAACAATCTCCCCTTGTATGAGAACTAGTCCCTCCTGATAACATGTCCAAAGTACATGAGATAATGTCTTGCCATCCTCACTTCTAAGCAGCATTCTGGCTATAATTCTTCCAAGAAAATTATTCCTGTATGACTGAATATAATGCTCACCCTCCAAACACTGAGTGCTGAACCAGATGGACTGACAGACATTACATGATGTGCAGTCAATTTTACTGGTTACTCAAAGTCAGGTGTCTGGCTTCAGAACACACTGAGATGTAGCTACCTATTTGTACTCCCTATCTCATCTCCTATCCCATTCCACTCTGTACAGGTATATTACTTTCTGTCACTATTGCTGGGTCCCTTCTTCTCTGTTGTCAGTTCTGGTACTCATTGTCCATTACTGTTACTGATCTCCATTGCCACTTTCCATCTAGTCCCATCACTCTTCTATCCAATTGCTTTCCAACTACTATCCAAGATTTCTTTTCTCTATTTGTTCATCATTTTTGTCTCTTCTGTTTCCTACCAGACAAAAGATATCTACTTCACAGGCATAGCCAGTCAATACACTTCTTTCCTTCTAATTAAAAAGAAAACATCAAGGCAAGTCATGATGATCTCTAGCTTTTCTGAACCATTTTCATCAGAGTCTGATATCCAAAGGTTCATTCATTGTTACAAATATGCTTTATGGTTTCTTTTGTTTCTAAAGTTGGAGTTACCCTATATACTTGGTCTGTAGACAATTCAGGTTTTTACAACTGCAGTATTTTAAAGATTAAAAAGGGAACAAAAAACATGGTGGCTTTCTTAAACCTTAAAAGTCTACCTAAAATATCCCCCAAAATTTCAATGAAAACTGTATCATAAAATGAATGGGAGTAAAGTTGACAGAGGGCAGAGAAACAATGGCTACTTAGTATTCAAGGCTACTGTACAAATCCAATCTAATTCTGAAAACAGAGACTTCACAAGTTATGTACAACTGAGTCAGCAGTGTTTGATTCTGCTGGATCTCAATGAAAAGCATGTAAACATCTCTATGTGTCTATGGATACCAGGCTGTCCTCATAATCAACTGTCAATAAATAAGATCTCTCACACACATCACCAAATCATTGAGTATATATTTACTGTCAAGGTATTTTAAAACCCTGATGCCTCCAACTCTATATTTTTGTTGTTCTTAGAGATACCAAACATAGTCCTGTCACAGGATCTTGGAACTAGCTCCAAAATACCTGTCCCCCACATACTCCAGAGCTCACTCTCTTACTTCATCAAGATCTCTACTCAAATGTCCCCTTATCAGGGAGCTGAGCTTGACCATACTATCTAAAATAGCATCCTCCCTCTTTCTACCTTTATCCTGCTTCATTTTTTATCATGGCTCTTATCTATTGATATTTACTTGTTAATTGTCCTTCTCTGCCCACTACAATGAAGCTCCAGGAGTGAAAAGACTTTGTCCCCTTTTTTCACTACTGTAGTTCCAGCACTTAGAACACTACATTGAAGGTAGTCACTAAATATCTGTTAAACACGTGAATAAATGAATACTCCCAGATTCAAAGATCGTATTTCCCTCTTGGCCTAGATACTATATATTTCTTTTTACTATTTACTAGCACTACAATTGTCACTGCCTCAAAACCATCCAGAGCGTCCCTAGCACTTCCACTTAAGCTACACTAGTTAAATGTAGGGAACATCTAGGTTAAAAAATCAGAAAGAAGCCTGGCAGCAGCACTAACAAGATACCTTAATTAAATAGGTTAAAAAGTCCTCTCTGAAAGAGCTATGACATGAACAGATATACGCATACCTATGTTCACTGCAGCATTATTCATGATAACAAAAAGATGGAAATAACATAAGTGCCCATCAATGGATGAATGGATAAACTATAGTACATACACACAACAGAACACACGCAATGTTAAAGAATAATGATGAGTCTGTGAAACAACTCATAACATAATGAACTTAGGGGACATTATGCTGAGCCAATCATGAAAGGGCAAATACTGTATGAGATCACTATTGTACAAAATCAAGAAACGTTTACACACAGAAAGACTCATTCTTTGAAGGTTACCAGGGTGGGAAGGGAAGGGAGAGTAAATCACTAACTAGAGGTAGTCAGGTTTTAGCTTAGGTAAAGGGAAAAACAAAACCAAGCCCACTGCCTTCAAGTCAGTTCCAACTCCTAGTGATCCAACTAAATGGAGTAGAACTGCACTGTAGGGTTTCCAAGGTCGTAAATCTTTACAGAAGTAGACTGCTTCATCTTTCTCCCACAGAGCAGCTGGTGGGTTTCAACTGCTGACAATGTGGTTAGCACCCACATGCTTTAACCACTACACCACCTGAGCTCCTTGTGAAGGGAAAGGCAACATAAAATAAATGGCCAAAACCAAAAAATCAAACTCACTGCTGTCGAGTCGGATCCAACTCACAGCGACCCCTCCTTGGGTTTCCAAGGCAGTATCACTACAGAAGTAGATTGCCCAACCTTTCTTCCGAGGAGAGGCTGGTGGGTTTGAACCACCAGCCTTCTGGTTAGTGGTCAAATGTCTCAGGCACTATGCCACCAGAGCTCCCAAAATAAGGGGCAGGTCAGCACAAAATGATCAAGGCAACGGAAGACACTGGGAGAAGCACAAGAGTTAAAGGCAACTAAAGTAAATACTATTACACAAACAATCCTGCAATAACAGTGATAACAATAAGCTATGCACAGATACATAGATACTCAAGCTGAATAGGGGTGGGAAGGTGAATGGACTACACCCAAAAATATACATACATGTTTGACAGAGGGTATTTCTACATATGTATTTATATGTGCTGTACATATATCCATGAATATAGTAGAGCATACAGGGGCCAAAATTATGAAAACTTCTTAGCCAAAACCAAACACCTTGAGGGGATGAATCACTGGGCAGGGGGGCTCAGGATAATAGTCTCAGTGGACACAATAGTCAATTGGTGTAACACAGTCCACAAAGACAATGTTCTACATCCTTCAGTAAGTAGTGACTGGGGTCTTAAAAGCTTGTGAGCAGCCATCTAAGTTACAATTGGTCTCTCTCCATCCAAAGCACAGAAAAACGAAAAAAATCAAAGACATAAAGAAACAACCCCAGGCTTCATAACTCTGAGACCAGAAGAACTAGATGGTACCAACTACCACTACAGCTACTAACCACTCTGAAATGGATCACAATAGGAGGTCTTGGATAAAGTGGGAGAAAAATGTAGAACAAAATTCAAAATCATAAAAAAAGAAAAAAGACCATGCTTACTGGTCTGATAGAGATTGGTACTCCCCCTGAGACTATGGCCCTTAGGTACTCTTCAAGCCTGGAACAGAACTCACCCCATTGCTTAACTTTCAGCCAAAGGATATACAGGCCTAAAAGGGGCACAATAATACCAAGGAGGTACACACTCATTAGAAAAGTCAACCATACACAACCAACAAGGCACCATTTGCCCAGGTGTAAGAAGGCAGGAAGTGACAGGAAAGAAAAACACAGCAAAACAGTAAACACAAGGAGGAAGTGCGGAAGAGTGCTGTTACAATGCAGGGAATGCAAAGAATGTCACAAAGCAAAGTGTGTATGAATTGCTGAATGGAAAACCATTTTGTTCTGTAAACTTTCACCCAAAGCATAATTAAAAGAAAAAGGTGAAAATGAAAAAAGTCCTCTGTGCCTCAGTTTCTAAATACATTAAATGAATAGAGTATATGTGTTCCTCACAATGAAGGATAAAGAATATACCTCTGACACTGTTTTAAGACAAGAGAATACCATGTTTTGCACAAGAAATCTACTGCACCTATTTTAATAAACATTACAAGGAACCGACTTGTCCAAAAACCACCGGGATGGACAAAATTAACAATGCTTGTCAATATATATAGCCAAAAACTAAATAAGCATTTACTTAGCCCAACAAATACCTTGAAGAACTACAGGAATATGTTAAAATCGCTGGATGAGGGTTGTTTCCAAAACATACGTAACTTTATTTCAGAGACAAAAGTACTCAACTTAGAAAACAATTCATACTGCTTCCCATTGAAACATCCCACACGTGCCCACGCATGTTACAAGTTTTGAAAGCATTTTATAATTGCACTCTCATCTTCTGTCTGCAGTGAATGACTTCCAGTAAATCTGTGGCAGTTGACGACAGTTTTTGTTTGGCTGGTTGGTGGTTTGATTTTTTCAACCATAAGTCTGCAATACCTCTCCTCTAGCTAATGCGGAGGGTTCTCCAGAATGGCTCAAAGAACCCCATATTCCCAAGTGTAAAGCGAGTCATACAGGGAACACACGTGTTCCGCCCAGCCTAGGAAGTGGAAATGGCAGGTGAAACCCACCCCTCAGCGGGGTCTTGGACACAGGGCAGAGGTGTCTCCGGGGAGCGCAGCGTAGCTGCTGACAGCCACGGGGCCCGGGGGCCAACGACCCCTGCCAGAGACCGATCCTGGCCAGCCCCCTCCTCGTATTTGGGCTCGGGCCTGTCCCGGGAGAGCATATCCCCCAAATATTAGGTCCTACCTGAGCTCTGCCCCCAGCTACAGGGCTGCGGGGGTAGGCGGGAGGAGGCGTGGCCTTCCAGCTCGCCAGTCGAACTCCCTCGTGCGGTTGTTATGACTTTCCCTCTCGGGATCCGCGCCCCGACCAAGTTCGAGTTGCACTTCCGGGGTCCGCAGAAGAATTAACGTCATTACGTCCGCGACAGCATTGGCGGCGACAACCCGGAAATGGGCTAGGCGTGTTCTCTGGGTCGGTTCCTGTGGCGCCCTGGGAAGGTTGGGAGAAAAAGGCCCGGGGGAATTAAGAGTTGGTTGGCTCTTTACAGACGGTCCCTGCGCGCTCTTCCTTCACTTTCACATTGGGAACGGGATACACCCCTACCTCAGTAGCATTAGAGGTTCAGGCCACGCTGAAGCCTTATTCTCCCAAGCGGATTTTAAAAACAATTTTGGGGGTGTCTTTGCAGTGAATTCCCACACCTCTACTCTGGTAGCATAGTGGCTAAGGCACTTGACTGCTAACCAGAAGGCTGGCGGTTCAAACCCACCAGCCACTCCTCGGAGGGAAGATGGGGTAATCTACTTCCCTAGTGATGCTGCCTCAGAAACCCAAGGGGGGGGGGCCTCTCTATGAGTCAGGTCTGACTCGATGGCACATAACAACAACTCATGTTTTATCTGGCTTTACGTGGCTGGATTAAACTCAGATGTTTAGATTTGTAAGATTAGTTTTACCTCTAACCTATGACCTGGGTAAAAAATTTAAAAAAAAAAAAAAACACTGCCATCCAGTGGATTCCGACTCAGAGAGACCCCTATTGGGTTTACAAGGGGATAAATCTTTACGAAAGTAGATTCCCGTCTTTCTTCCGTAGAGTGGCTGGTGAGTTTGAACTGCCAACGTGATAGGAGTCAAATGCCTTAAACCAAACCAAACCAAACTCACTGTCGTGGAGTTGGATCGACTCATAGCAACCGTTCCTTGGGTTGCCAAGGCAGTACCGTTAGGAAAGTAGATTGCTCAATCTTCCTTTGGAGGAGTGGCTACTGGGTTTGAACTGCCAACCTGCTTAGAAGTCTAATGCCTTAAACCAAATCAAACCAAACTCACTGCCATGGAGTCGGATCGGACTCATAGCGACCCCTCCTTGGGTTTACAAGGCAGTATCACTAAGGAAGTAGATTGCCCAATCTTTCTTCTGAGAAGCGGCTGGTATGTTGAACCACCAGCCTTCTGGTTCGCAGTCAAATCCCTTAGGCACTAGGCCACCAGAACTAGTATCCTACGGACAATTGGAAGTTCCCATTACTCTACTTGCTCAATGGGAATTTTGTGGATATTAATGTTGTGTATAGTAATTTATTGTGCTTGTTCAGAACATTAGGTTAAAAGGTCTTAATGGTACATTTGAGACTAGCAATCGGAGCAACTGATATTTAATTTTTAGCTGAGACTCTTAGTGCATTAATTTATTTATTACACAACCATTCATTTACAAGTATGATCCTCAAAAAAAAATAATAAAACCCAGTGCAGTAGAGTAGGACTCATACTGACTCTATAGGACACAGTAGAATCACCTTCATAGGGTTTCCAAGGCTGTAAATCTTTACTCACACAGACTGCTTCATCTCTCTCCCCAGGAGCATCTGGTGAATTGAAACTGACAACCTATTGGTTGACAGCCCAAAGATTAATCTGTTGCAGACTGAGTTCTGGAATAATGATTAGAAAGTCAGCAGTAGCTCAGAGAGAAGTTTAATAAGAGGTGGGAGCTCTGGTGATCTAGTGCCTAAAGCATTTGACAGCTAACCAGAAGGCTGGCAGTTCAAACCCACCAGCCATTCCTCAGAAGGAAAATTAGGCAATCCACTTCCGTAGTGATACTGTCTGGGAAACCCCAAAGAGGGGTCACTATGAGTCAGATCCCACTCAAGGGCAGTGAGTTTGATTTTTGGTTTAATCTTGCAAGGTGAAGACACACAGGGCCAGAGACAATGCCATGTGTATCTCTCTGAGCCTTACAGGCTAGGAGTTTTTATAGTAGTTTTTAAGGCCATGGGGTACATGATTCGAAAAGACCTTATGCTGGCAGGTATTTATAAAATCCTGACCCTTTTGTAAAAGGAAGGTGAACAAGGTTGTGATACATTCCTAAGATAGACCTCAAATTCCTTCAGGCTAGGTGCATGCACAAACTCTGTGTGTCCCGACATGGATGCCGTGACTTCTGCGCAGGTTTATTCTGCTGTTTGCTCTTGGTTTGAGTCTTGGTCTCATCTTGGATTGGCCATATTGTTTCATCAGGAAGTAAAGGAGGATAGGGATGCACAGGCCCCAAAACTGGTTAACATTGACCACAGGTAGTGCGCTGGAGGACATCTCAAGAATGGCCTGTTATCAGGAAATGCCATTTAAGCAGTAAATTTATATTTGAGTTATTTCTTTTGCAGTGTCCTTTCCTGGGTCTCAGGATCCGGGAAATGGATTGCCCTGTCCTGTGAACTATTCCTGTCTTGGTTTTGTGATCTTAGGATTGTGGTGGCAGGGGCAGGATTCTTATGTGATTATGGCTACAAGTAGTAGAATAAGGCAGTGTTTAAATTGAATAAGATTAATATGGAGGTTAGGTTATGAAATTAGAACACATATTCATCCCCAGAAATTCTAATCTGTCTATATTACTAAATAACCACTGTACCACCAAGGGTCTTTCATGTTTGCTCATGGGACACGAAGCTGAATTAGACTGCCTTTACCACTCAAGTGTAAAAAATTCAGTTTTGGGGACTTCTAGTAAGATGGAGGACAAGGCAGACAAGCGACACACCTTTTTCAACAAAGAAAAGAAAAACCAGTGACAGAAATATAGACGATAATCCTGGAGCCCTGAGTTTTGAAAGGAACTATGCAGAAGTTGCTTGGTTCTACAATCGATGCCAACGGAAGCAGCAGTCAGGACATTAGATGACGTGTAGCATTGGGAAAGTCAACTGCGAAGGAACTGTTTC